TGGGCATATCAATCTTTGTTGCTTAGGGCAGCACACCATCAACAAAGCCTTGGGGATGGGGTAAGAGCTGATGGGCCACCCACTTCCACAGTGATGAGAACTGGAGTTGTTAGAGAAAGCTTGCACCTCCAGATGAAGGCATCTGGGAGACCAGAGACCATACAGCCAGTCTGGTGACTAGTGCATTCAGCTGGGTGTGAGGACTTTAAGTGTTGTTTGAATCGGTTACTTGTTCTCCCTGTTCCTATTATAATAAACCCTGTTGTATTTCAACCTCCTCCTTCAGAGTTTATGGGGCAGAGGATGGAGGAAGGAGGTTCAGCTGAACAAGCTGGAGCTGACAGGGCTCACAGCTTGTTGTGAGGGATGCAATTTAGGAAATACTTGATAACATCAACACAGCTTTTATGCTCACTTGCCAAGCACGGCTAATAGAATGTTACTGAAACTAGGCTTCAAAACAGAATAAACTGGTCAAAACAAATTCTGGTTTTAATTGTTTCTTTTTTTCACCCTGTAGCTAACATATGCTAAGCAAATTGTAGGAGGAGAGGTCTCTTTTTCTTTCCCCACAATGGAAACACATTCCAGACTATTACTGTTTTATGCCTATTGGCTGCTTTGAATTTTTTAAAATTATACTTCTAGTTTTCTCTCGCTCCTGGTTTTATCTGTCCTGTTTTGTTGTTTCTGTTGGCTTGCCTTTCACATTTTTAATTTGCATACCCCTCAGAGGGCTTTAGCTATCCAGCAGTTTGGAAATCAGGCAAGCAATAAGATTTCATTCAAGTTAGCTTTCAGGCAAGCATTTCGCTAGACAACTTCACTACTTTATTCATGACATTTTATGCAAGGCCTAAACTATGCTATTTCCAATTTGTAGTTCTCCTGTTTCCCAGATCTGCTCCTTCCCTTTGTTTTTAACTAGTAAAAGGAAAAAAAACAAACCATCTGGGGGGAAAAAGCTGAACAATGTATTTTGAATGGAAAGACTAGGGATCCTATGGAGCCACTTCATAGAAAAGCAGAGGGAGACAACAAAGAAAAACAGTAGATAATTGTTGACACCTCCAGGGCTGACAGGCGAATGTGTCCATGTAGGGCGGCAGCACAGCAAGAAGAAATGCAATTTTGTGCATTTACATGATCCAGAATCTCAAGTTACTTCCAGATGGACAGCTCCTGCTGCTATGGGCTGTCAAGCCAGTACTAACATACACCAAACCTATAAGGGCTTTTGAGGTATATGACATGTTTGAGGAGAGGTTTACCATTGAGAATTGACAGTGAACTTCCATGGCCAAGGAAGAATTTTAACCCAAATGTCCAGAGTCCTAGTCCAATGGTCTATCCACTGCACCACACTGGCTTTTTCAAAGGGCTTCTAGCATTACATTTGAAAGGTGTTGTGTATCTTTTTCTCCTCAATTGTTTTAAAGTGACAGGCAAAAGTAATGATGGAATAAATGGGAAGGTTACAAATGAGACACAATGTTGTCTACCATGCTTTCACCACCACCCATGTGTGAGATTGAATTAGAGTTGCACAACAAAACCATGATCTGCAAAGCATCCTCTGCAGAAGACTGAAGGAACGCAGTTATGCAAAGAGGGTGGGTGGGATATTTGGTCTTGACAGAGATTATAACGCCAATGGGTTATGAATCCTGTCCCTTTCCAGGAGACTCCTGAATACAGTCCAGGATTCAAAGGACTGTGAAACTGTTTCTGTGCTTACGGTAGTTTAATTTTGTTATTGTTATCTTTCTTGAATGCACCCATCTAAATCCTTTTCTTGCATAACTTAAAAGGCTTGCCAGGGTGCGGTGGGGTGTAATATTATATTAACTCTTCTACCTTGAAGTCTCACAAGAATGACAGCGACAAAGTCTAAACTAATTAGATCCTTGAACCACCGCTCTTATATCATTCTCCTTTTTATGTTTTTTTGTTTGCTGGACAGCAATTGTTTCCTCTTCTTATTGGATATTAGTGAGATATAATATGCACAGCCACCAGGAAGAATGCTGAAAGATAGATGGGCCTTGTCAGTTACTTCATGGAATGACAAATGGGCTCTGCCTTTCGGAAGCCGGAAAAGGGAGAACGGAGTGGGGGGTGGGGGACAGCTTTTCCTGCGTCTGCCTGGAGGTGGCTGGCACTTTCATTCTATGGCAATAATCTTAAAATGGTTCAACAAAGAAAGTCTAGCTTTTTGTGAGATTAACTCTAATTGCAGTCAAAGATATTCTGAGGCATATTTACATTTCAAGGACAAGTGATTCAGAGGTGTTTTTCCCTTTGCTTCAGTGGTAGAGAACTGTACGGGTGGGAGCAAGCACCTAAAAATGGAATTAAGAGAGAAGCAGACCTCAAGTTAGTGCTTGAAAGTACTAATTCATCACCTGAAAACTATTTGGGGGTGCACCTTATTCTGGTACTAAAACAAGTCAGGAAAACAGATTTCTTGGGGCACACCAGAATAAGACATGTGATAGTTCCTTGTCCTGAGAAAACCAAAACACTTTGGGCAACAAACACAAAATAAATCACTACTTTCATGCAACAACTTGATGCGTTTGTTCCTTCTTCTGCCCTTTCTGCTATTTACATGTGTCAACTTGCATATTATAGCATGATATTAATGGTGCCTAATGAATTAAGATACACAAATTTTTTTCTTTTTAAAATGAAATAATTATAATTCCTTCTAATTTTTTTTTTGTCCAAAACAAAGAATCAGAAATGGCACCATAAAAGTTCTGATGGTTATAGTATTCATCCAGCTCAATCAACTGAGGTTGGATTTATCAGAGTGTCTTTTAACAGACTTTCTTTAATTTACTAATGAAAATTATTTCTGGACAAAACTGATCTTGCCACAACAGTTTGTCCTCATTGATGAGATTTCAAAATGCATTAATACACTGCACTGTTCTTGAAAATGGTTTGGCAGGTTCACGTCTATATAGAAAGTGGCACCCACACAGTAACCAGTACTGCCAGATGGAATCACATAAAACTAATTCTGAAGGCCATTCTTCTGACCTGTGCCTAATTGCTTGCAAACCCAGATGACAGACCGAGTGCTTTCCTCTGAAACGGGGTTGAGCAACATATGCTCTTTTGCCTGCTTATGTAGCCATTCCTCCTGATTTTACTGTCCACCACAAGCTGCATTTTCACTTTAAAAAGGCATGCAGGGACCACATACTTTGTGTTTAAACCAAATTAGTGAATCTTGTTTACAGAACTGCCCTTCTCAATTAACCTTTAGTGACACCTTTGATTCCCCATTCCATATGTCGGGCAACCACCTCAAAGAAATAGGGTAATATACCATGGAAATCTGGGTGCATCCCTATCTTTTATATCACAATCTTCCTCACCTGCAGCAACAAGGGCCAAAATCTAGACTGTGTGCAATTCTGATTTTCTGACTATGATTAAATCTTGCTGGCCAAATTTTCTCCCCTTTTAAATTTTTTTATTTCCAAGAAACATTTAAGATGGACGTTTCCCCTGCAATATAAAAAGATTTGCAACATGAGACCTGGACATAAACCTGAGTTTGGATGATACCACTGTAGAATGACTGGGGATTTATTTATAAAAAGGCACTTTATTCTCTGCCCTTCTAATACACCCATACCAATCCCTGCTTAGAGAACCTGGAATATCAGGCCAAAAACTAGGCTCTCATAAAATCATCTAGATCTCTATGACAGTTTTGATTTGGAAAAAAAATACAGTCTTCTGACTGCACACCCGCTAAGTAAACTTATAGTAACAAAGATACTACCTCAAGTGCAATAAAACTAGGTGCAAATCTAGTGCACTAAGTAAAAGACGTCAATAACTTTTTTATGCTTTGTATAAACATGAAAAGCAGAGCAACTCTCCAGATTATGGGCGAATTAGATCGCTTTTATCTGGTTCAAATGCATGAGATCGATCTCTCTCCATGAGAACTCCATAACACGATTAGAAAATAACTATCAAAGACGAGGTAGAAAAATATACCCAAGCAACCAAAGTTGCTGAGCCGGCCGCCAGAAGTTCTGAAAAAAAAATCCCTACGAAGCAGACAGGATTCCACCGAGCAAATCAGCAGACTTCCCATTAGAGAAGGGAAAAAACCTGAAACCAAAATCTTCAGTTTTTCCGGGATTAAAAAAAAAAAAAAAAAAATCCAGTACATCACATTCCCTATAATCCCGCCCGCCTGTGTTTTTTTTCCCCCCCTCCCCTGCTCTAAGAGCAGATCTTCACTGACTGAGGGATGGCTAGTTGGACGAGTTTTCTCGCTACCGAAATCCTGGGTTAAAAAAACACAATTCCGGCTGCCTTTGGGCACGAAAATACAGTAATAGCCGCCTCCCTCCAGAGGTTCCGCTTGTATAAGGGGCGCGAGAAGGTCACGTATTATAAGAACAGAAGCCCGAAAAGAGCAACTTAACTTCAGCCGGACAAACAATATAAACGCTGCCGAGTTCCCTAACGCCCTAAATATAGCAGCGCCCGATAAGCCCTCCTCGGCAGCCGCTCCTCGCTGCCTCTGACGCTCTTAAAAGCCCGCATCGCCCCAGCCTCCAAACACCCCCCGACGCGGCGCCTTCAGGCAGAACGTGTCGTCATCAGCAGTGGGCGGGTCCCGCCCGCCGAGCGCAAGGGAAGCCGAGCACAAGGGAGGGGGGGGGTGAGAGCGAACCAAACGGAAAGCAGCTCCCGCCCAATCCGAACGGGAGCTGCGGCTGCTCGCTCGCAGACACCTCCCCCCCCTCACACTTTTCTCCCTCTCTCTCGCGCCGGCTGGGCGGTGACGTCATGGCCAGAGCCCCGCCCTCCCTCCTTCTGACGAGCGCGTCCCCGCACCGGCGGGAAGAGGAGAGGCTTGTTTCGGTGTGTTTGCGAGAGGGCGGCGGGAGCGTGCACGGCGACGGCTTGGGCGCCATGTTGGAAGGTTGCTGAGCCCGGTAGTAGCCGGGGGAATTCTGCGCTTCTCTCTCTCTCTCTCTCTCTGTGTCTCTCTCTTTCCTCCCCGCCTCTCCACCGTTCGCCTCGTTTTCTGAGAGGGAGCCGCTGTCGCTGCGAGGCTCCTGGTGCCTGTGAGGGCCCGGGGAGGAGGAGCAGCAGCGGCAGGAGGAGGTGGTGGAGGAGGAGGAAGGGGTAGCGGCAGCGGCGGATCATGGATCTCGAGAGGCTGCAGGAAGCCCTGAAAGGTGGAGGCTGTGGGGGTTGAGGTGGGGACGGGTGGGTGGGTTGGGGGGTTACCGGGGGGGCACGGGGGGGGGAGGAGGAAGGGACCGGCCTTTGGGGGCAGGGGGTGGACAGAGAGGGGACCTGGGCCTCTCTTTCGGGGTACCCGTTTACGAACCACAAGAGATCCCTTTCGAGGAAGGGAGTAAAAAGAAGAGAGATCTTTTTTCTTCCTTACTTCTGGCGAGGCGTGGGAGGAGAAGGAGATGGACACCCTTCTTCCCTGCCCTTGTCCCACTGGAGTCCCGAGGAGTTTTGTTCTCGAGGGGCCGACTTTTGTCTTTCTAGGTGTCTGTTGGAGAGCCTGGGTCACTTATTGGGATCCCAACATGCCCCAGACACCAGAGGTCCCCTTTCAATCCGATCCTCCTTGTCCCTTTCCTTAAAAGGGCCTTGCCTCTGGCTTTTGCACTTTCTCCCCAGTAAATGTCTGTTTTCCCTTGCCATCTCCCATTTCTTCCCCCGTCTTCCATTTCCGGCCAGCTTTCCTGTCCATATTTTCTCCAAGAAATCAGTGGATTTCACTGTTTGCCTTTCACCTTTTTGCCCAGCCTGAGGCAAGTGGCCTGATATTAAGAGGCCAGCTTTGAAAAAGAAGTTGAATATATGTTTCCCAGAAAGGAATATGTGTTTGTTGCCATTTGAAAGTCCCTAAGGGTTTTATGTGTGCATTTTTGTGTTTGTAGGAGTTTTCTATTCAGTATATGGAGCTAGCAGAAGGGTGACATCTTGATTAACAAGGAAGATATAATTTAAGCAACTACTTTTCTGTTCTCTTTGCAGATTTTGAAAAGAGGGGGAAGAAGGAAGTGTGCCCAATACTCGATCAATTTCTTTGTCATGTTGCCAAGACAGGAGAGACAATGTGAGTGAGTTTTCATTGACTGGCAGTCTCCTCCTAAGTCCCTGGATATGTTATGAAAAAGGCTAGGATGAAAACAGATGTTTTTCAAATGTTGGAGTACTTGATTAGTTAAATGCATGTATAATTCCACATTATAAATGTTGCAATTTAAGTGTTTCATTTTCTCTTCAGATTAACTATGAGACTTAAAGCTTGCTGCCCTTATCAGAGCTTGAAAAATGATTTTCCCCCCATCAAGTTGCTTGCTAGTTTAATTGACCCTGTTGAATAGAGTAAGTCCAGTGGGATTTCTTTCAGTTTTATAAAATTCTAGCCACTGCTTTCTGAAGTAAAAACTGGAAGAGCACTGTGTTTTGCAATCAGTTTTCAGAGCTGTGAGTTAATCTAAAGTTTAGACATTGAGTCAGGCTGTTGCTAGACTTCTTGTGTAAAAAGATGAATTGATATTAACCATCTTGTAGAGAAAAATATGTGACCTTTATTGCTTTCTACTAGGCTTTGATTCCCTAGCTAATGCAAAATTTTTCAAGTTTTCACAGACAGATTTAACCATGCACCAAACACTAACAAAACTGTTAATAACAAAACACAGAGTCTCCACACAACAACTCTGTGCACAGAGTCTAAAGCCAGTTATTAGTCTCAACTCAGTGTGGAGTCCGGTTGCATCTGACTTACAATGACCCTAGTGGGTTTTCAAAGCATACAGAATATTTAAGGAATGGTTTTTACCAGTTCCACTCCCACCCCACGGTGAGTTTCTATGTCTGAACAAGGATTTGAACTTACATAGTCAGAGTTCTAGTCCATCACTATTCAGTGCTGCACATTGGCTGTCTAGTTTCAACTACAGTATACTTAGTGACCCATTGCTGAATCAACATTTGTGTAATCCCCATTGATTCAATGGGTCTGCTCTACTTGGAACTATCAGTCATGTTTAGGCGTTAATAATTAGTCATGGAAGCTGCTTGCAGAATCCTCCTTTTTGATCTACAGTTAGGATCATATGTGCTGTTTTGTTTATTGGTCCTTTTTAGGCCCACTTTACAGATGGAAAAACTAATTCTATTTCAGATAAATGTGTCTGATTTTGTGTCTGTCTTCCTTTCTCTTCCCACCACTTTCTGTTGCTGTAGCAAAATCAGGAAACCCATCACTATTCTCTAGGTGATGCAGCTACCTTTGAAATAAATAAGGCAGGCATATATGTACACTTTTTAGCTGCTATGTATATGTACTTTGAGTCCCTTTATTGGGAGAAAGGCAGAAAATGAATAAACTAAAGAGGTCATCTGAGCTGAATAACATTATTTTTGTGTGAGAATTATTAGTTTCTTCTGTTGGACTGCCCTTATTTGCCCAGGTCCTGAGAGTTAAGGGTCATTATTCCTTGATGGTGCTATGATGAAACAACAACATTGCTTCATTGAGGACTGAGAGGGCACTTGGAAACAAGGGCTGAGCTTTCCTGGATACCTGTACAGTATCTTCTTCAGGCCTCCTTTGTCCTCTCTGTATCCTCCCAAAGATCCCAGGAAGTTTCATGCAAAGATGTGCACCATTCTTTTTTTCTTAGCACTGCTCACTTAACCACGTTCAGAAAGTAGTAAACATAACTTTAGATTGACAGTGCTGTAGAGTAGGGGTCCCCAACCCCCGGTCCGTGGCCTGGGCTGGACTGGGCTGCCAAGACAGATTTCCCACCCACCCCTGCATGTACTCCCCCTACACAGCCCCTTCACGAGTTTGTGCGAGTCCCCCGGAGCACCCCTGCTCTTCGTACTCCCGCTCCTTCGCGCATGTGCCCACTCGCTCCTTTGTACACGCGGCCCCCGCTCCTTCGTGGATGGGTGTGAGTGTGCATGCCCCATGTGAGTGTGTGCACGCCCATGTGAGTGTGCACACACAAGTGTGAGGCTGTGTCTGTGTGCGAGCGGGGCTGTGTGCCCTGTCTTCCCCAACCAGTATGTGGAGTTAAAAAGGTTGGGGACAACTGCGTATAGAGAACATGAATAGTAGCAAGTGATAGGGTGCTGCAAAGTAATGTATGCTTGGAACAGTTGTGGATTCATTGGCAGTAACATACTAAAGTTACTAGCAGGAGCCATCTTAGACCCAGAGATCCTTCTGCTTTTTCTGTCTAGGCATGCTGCAGATCCTTCTGCTTGTGATCCATACTGGTGGTATAGCGGTATATGGTAATTTATAAATACTTACTTACTTTTATTGAACTTATACCCCACCCCTCTAGACAAAGTCTACTCAGGGTGGCTTACATGAGTAACAAAACACAATAAAATAAAATACATAATAAAACCTACTAACAAACTAATTTCTATATACATTGTCAAGATGGGATAGTTAAGAAACAGAAAATCAGTTAATTGACTGGAGGGAAGGCCTGCCTAAAGAGACAGGTTTTTAAATGGCTTTTGAAAATGCCCAGTGAGGGAGCCAGACGGATTTCTATTGGGAGCCGAGGGGCCAGAGCCGAGAAGGCCCGGTTTCTTATTCTTTCCTTCCGGGCCTCTCTCAGCGTAAGGCCCCTCAGCCATCCCTTCTGGCTTTGTTGAGTGATTTGGGTAGACCTAGATACTGTACGTTAATATATAAATCTGCATTAGTACTGTTACTTTGCAGTGGTTACCCAGTGTAAAGTAATGGATAGAGTGACAGGTTAGATATTAGGAGTCCTGCATTCAAACCCCATGAAGACATAGAAACTCATTGGGAGATGGAATGGTAAAACTATACTTAAATATCCTGCTTACCTTGAAAACCCAATTGAAGCCACTGTAAGTTGGTTCGGACTTGTTAGAACAGTACACACATGCACATTGTACAGTGTCATAATAGTCTATGATGCTTTATATAAAGTACCAGAAAAATCAGTTCTTTGGTTTTAAGGGCTTAATTATTTTAATCATTTATAGTTCAGCATGGAAAAATAACAGGGATGAGCATGGGTAAATAAGTTAAGAGTATGGGTTTATTTCACTTACACATACAGTACTTAGATTGATATAATTTTACGTTGCATTAGGTGCCTGTTGTTCTTAGAGACAATTGCAGGCTTAGTGAAAAGCAAGGGGGAAGGGTCAGATCGTTTAATGGAACAGGATACTTTTCAGACAGCTAATGGTGATGGAGACAGGGATGCAGGTTATTGAATAGCCAGCTTTTGCATAGAAATTGTTGTTGTTTGTTTTATTTACAGGCTGCCTTTCTCCTGAAAAGGGGATGCAAGGCGGCTCACAATATTAAAAGGAATGAAATTAAAAAGATAATATGTTAAACATTAAAACAATTAAACTATATGCTAATTAAAATACAATTGAGCAATTAAAAATAAGTAAACACTAAAAGCAATCTTAACTCTGTCTTCTAAGTATGTCATCTAATGCTAAATTACAGCCCTTCCCTCTGTTGAATATGTCTGCCTGAGTTTTGCTTGCCCCTGGTTAGTAGTTGGATGAGTACAGGAAATTTCAAGGCGCTCCAGATAAGCTTAAAAAAGAATTCTGCCTGAAAGCTTGCAGAGCTGTGGTCAGTCACAGTACTGTAGTAGACTAGATGAACTAATGGTTTGACAACACATGCAGTTGTTTGCTCTCTTGTGGCAGAAAAAGGCAAAAGAACAAAACACAATTATGAATATGCTTGTATGTTTCTGGATTTTTCTTGATTGTTTTACATCTCTGGAACAGTTATCCACTGCTTCTCTTTACTTTTTGCAGTTGTATTTTGTTGAAAGGGAGGAAAATCTCCTTTGTGTACTGCTAGTGAGTGCTTGCTTTCTTGTTCCCAGGCTGTGATGGGGAGCGGCGGCGAGAGGGAGGGTTTACTTCAGCCAAAAATGGTTTTCAATTAGTACTGTTCTTTCACATCTTACATTTCAAAATGTAACTTTTCTTCAATAAATGACCATGACATTTAGGGAAAACTGTAGCCCTGAAATTTATTACGAGCTTAGACTCAAACAATTCAGCTCAGCAAGGGCAACATTTTTAAGTACAGTATGTCGCTAAACTTTTCTTCTTAGCTGTTTACTGATCAAGCTAGTCTAAACCTGGTTAGAAGGTGTTCTGTTTTTGTAACTGTAAAGTTTGAAATTTAGAGCTCGGGGTGAGGATGTAAATAATTGCTTTTCTTGTTCTCATGTGCAGAACAAAAAGGCATGAGGATTTTTTTCTCCCCTCTCGTGAAATAGTAAGACCATAAGAGAGTAAGATGGTCAGCCTTTATGAAACCTGCTTTGAGCTTTTCTGTAAGTGTGCAAAACTTAACTGTTGTTAAAAAGTAGAAAAATAGACTGGATTGTTTCAGTCTTTGTTATTAGATTGGCCTTTATGTACATATTTATGAAACCTGCTTTGAGCTTTTCTGTAAGTGTGCAAAACTTAACTGCTGTTAAAAAGTAGAAAAATAGACTGGGTTATTTCAGTTTTTGTTATTAGATTATTCTTTTGCACTTTACAATGGCTTATTTTCATAAAGGAAAAAGATAATTTTGTACACATTGTGTAAGAGCATCTACAACAGAAATAACACTGACAATATTCATTGTAACCAAGAGCTAAGTTAATTAGTTTAATGAATTTAATTAAAAGTTATTTATGTTTTATGATGCTATGATAGCTGTTATTGTAAATAATTGTGCATTTCTGTTCTGTAAATTGACCCTTTCATCAGTTTAACATAGCCTATAGGATAACTGCCCATTTTGCTCTAATAAATAAATAAAATGTTATAATTTGGGCATTGTTGCAAGTACCGTGTTTCCCTGAAAAATAAGACAGGGTCTTAAGTTAAAAGTTGTGTTTTTTTAATTTTAGTACTGTATCAGCATTAATACTCACTTTTGGAGACTTTCCAAGTATGCTTTTTTGCTTTTGGTGGACTCTAAAAATAAAATGTTATGGTTAGGGCATTGTTGCAAGTACCGTGTTTCCCCGAAAATAAGACAGGGTCTTATATTAATTTTTGCTCCAAAAATG